GTAGCACCAGGTTTTTTGTCATGTTATTTTCTTTACTGGGCAATCCAGCTGAGAAATACTTTGTTTGCATTTCCCACAAATGGCCTATATTGCTATGTACATTCCTGGGCCAAAAATGCTGAAAGGGTCCTGAATATTGAGTGTCTCTCATAGCAAATGCTATAAAATGCTTTAAGAGGCTTTTATGAGAGAAGACAGTGATTCACAGTGCCAGTAAAATAATTTTATTCATCTTTTGGTCAGAATCCATTTTTTTGACCTGTCCTATACCCATGTTCTACCTGCAAAGCTTTTTACATCAGAGAAAAAGTATCACAGACACCCACCTCACATCTGTCTTTCACATGGGCTGGTATAATGAGTTCCATGTAAAATGATTCTTAGTTCTTGGAATTTGCTGCCTCCAGCTCTGATCAGCTGGATGCAAGCTCGTTTCCTGCAGTATGCCGCCATCAGGGCAGCAAGACTGTGTAGGGTTTGTTTTGAATAAAGAAAATCAAAATACAAAGACACATTTTCCAACAAAGTTTCAAATGCAGTTGAGCTTCTGTTTTTGCAAAAGCAAAAACTTGAGGATGGTTGAAATTCAGAGAAACCATTGAAATGAGTTTCCTTCTTGGTCGCAAGAAAGTGTTGGAAAACAGCAGCTCTGAAAGGGAATACAGGGATAATACCAATCTGTGTTTTGTGAGAGTCTGGAGGGTTTTGAATATTCTCAATTTCGGTCTTCATGGAACGTCTTGGGCGGCCCAGAACGGGCTGCGGAGTGTTGCTGGGGAGAGGAAACTCACAAAGTAAAACAATTCAGTGTGTATTTTTCTTTTCTCCAGAGATACAGTTGGCAATTATCAAGGTTCTAACCTTCTAACCTTTACCACTGTCAGTTTAAATCAGGGAACAACACATTCGCTTTATTTAACAGAGATCTTTATCAGTGATTAGACGGTACTACTGCAATTAAGCGAGAACTGCAGATGGACGGATCCATTATTCAAAGCAAAGCCTCTCTGGTATCAGACCTGACAACCATTTGTAAAATTAACTCTCACTACTCACTGCAATGGAGGGGGAAAGGTGGAATTCATTCTGCAGAGAACTGGGAACTGTTGTCTGCCAGACTAAACATTCAAAGTTAGTGAAGAGGTTTTGTTACTCTGAATGATGGGGCTCAGGTTCTGGCATTCATATTCAGAAAGGTTGAAGACTGGTCTTTGTCATCGTAGTCTTTCAAAGGGTGGATCAACTGGCAAATGTCACAGGTGTAGCTATACACCACCTTGCATGCAATTAGTGAGAAGCTGAATAGTGTAAGTGCAATTTGAAAGCAGGAATGAAGATTAAATTGAGAACAGAAGCACACCTAACACTCTCTTTGAGTGGTTTGTCGAGGTTGTTTTTTTAAGAGTAAAAAAATACTTTGGCCTAGTCGATTATTTGAAGAGGGATTTGAGGCTCACCTTTTTGTTAATTGATAGTTAACTCTCATTTGACTTAAATCCATGGAGTCTTAGGTTTTGATTTAAAAGGTTTAATGATTATTAAGTTCATTGCAAAAATCAAAAACAAAATCATTTTGGTCTCATCTTACACCTAAATGAGTATTGCATATGTTAACCCACTACACAGTAGATATTGTACAATAAAGGCATTGCTACTATCTTCTTTTGGACAGAAAGAGTCTTTAGTTTTTATGATGCAAAGAAAATCAAAGGAACCTTAATAGTAACCCGATTAAATATAAATCATGTTTGCTTCAGACCGTACTTCAAACAAAAAGGCTCGATCATAGTCAGAATGGACAGGAATTTCTAAGATCATAAAAATTTCAGGTCTTCATACACAATCTGAGTTAGATTTGTGGCTGGAATTTGGCCAGGCCTTTCTAACACATAAACAAGCTTTGGTTTAAGTTATTCCACTGTAGCTCTGGCTTTATGTTTAGGGTTGTTTTCCTGTTGGAAGCTGAACTTCCACCTCTACTGCAGGTTTTTCTGCCACTATTGCACCGTTTTTTTTCCCACATTCATGTCCTTATCGACTCTGACCAGCAATTCCTCATGCCTGCTGAGGAAAAACATGGCCATATCACGGTGCGGACACTGCTGTACTTACCAATGGCAGTTAGTTTCTAGGTAGTTTGGTGGTAGATTAGTGGAGATACTTTCAACCACAGTATTTTGCATGCTAGTCAAAATTGTAACTTATGGTTTCATCTGACTGGTGCGCCTATTCCACGTTTGCTGTGTCCATTACATGGTTTGTCATGGATTTCTTGTGAACTTCTTTCAAAAATACGAGTTCTTTCGGACAGTCTTACACAAAGGTCAAGTTTTTTTATTGTGCAGGACACACAGTTGTCCAACATACAGATTTTCTCGTCTGATCTGTGGATCTCTGAAGCTCCTCTGAGATTACGTTGGGACTCCTGGCAGGTAAACATGTCAGTTTAGTGCAAAGCCGTGTCTTGTTAGGTCTACTGTAAGATACTGTTTCCATTTTCAGATGACGGATGGAACAGAGCCTTGTGAAAGGTTTAACACTTGCAATACTGCATTGCAGGGCAAAACCTTTTTCAAACTCGCCACAGCTTCATCTCTGATCTGTCTGGTGTGTTCCTTGGTCATCGTCATGCAGTTTGTTCACTAATGGTCTTTAAGAAAACTTTGATGCTTTTTAAGAACAGCTGAGATTAAATCACACACAGAAATAGACACCATCGACTTCTTAGGAGACTTCTAAAGGCAAATAGTTACACTGGATTTTTATTTAAAGGCATCAAAGTAAGGGTGACTTGAAGAATATGCTACACTTTTCAGATTTTCATGTGCAAAATGAAGTAGCATAAAAGAACTTGAATTGCGCCTTCCACTTCACATTAGTATTTTAAATCACATAAAAGTTCACTAAATACGTGTAAAACCGAAAAAGAAAAGGACAGTGTGTCTGGAAGGCACTGCACACACAGCAATCACAGAACTTGTATCATTTATTCATTCATTAGCACCTCATCTGAAGGACACATATTTCAGTGATGTGTATTTAAAAGTAATGAAATCAGGGGACTTCAGGGCTTAAACGGGATCACAGTTTTTATAAGTCGATAGGTTAATCTGTTCTCCAACCCAAACAGATTGTGTTTTAATCCGCTTTCAATCTGAACTCTAATGGAGACAAAACACAACAGTATTAATTTTGTAACGTGGCTGAAAAAACAGTTTAAATTGCATGCTGAAAATTTAAGCTGTAAATGCCACACTGCATGAACATTAATGATTGCCAAAGTTGTATATGGAGACAATTTAATAGCAGACTTACGTGTTCTTTGTAGATTTTAAGACAACACAGTCTATTAGTTTGAATGACTGTGCTTCTCATCCTGAGTTTGATTTGGCATTTGTTTTAGGTTTTTTTTATAGAAGGAAATATAAACTAAGCTATAACCTTTATTGATTACACATTTCCCTCCAAAGGTAATACAGTGTGCCTCTAATGATGTCATTAAAAGTAAACGTCACACTAAACAGCATAAGTCCAACACAACAACGTAGGAAAGAAATTGAATATTTACCGCTGACTTTATTGGGTCATAATGTTTTTGTTTGTTCAGTCATTGAGGTTGTTTTAGCACATAACAAACAAAGCTCTCCAGCTCTTTGCATAAAAAAAGCTAGCTTTTAAGAAATTTGGAAAATGATCCAGTATTCCCTTTTGGCATGTTTTGGAGGTTTTGGCTTGAGTCATATTGTTAAATGGTAAACCTAAACCAAAGTCCCAAACATCCCAGATGCTCCTCCATATTTCCAATGGGTTGCATTGGGAATAAATTCAAAGAGAAGGGCTATTATCCATCTGCTTGTCCTTGCACTTATTCACATATTCATCCATCCAGTCTCCAGACCAGATGTCCACTTCAGTGACAACTACTTCAAACATCTCAATGTTGCTGTAATATCACATAATTACACTGTCAAAGTTGTTTTATGATAAATGTGAGAAGGTGTGTGATAAATAAATTGATCAAATTAATGAAAATAACAGGAGTTAACATAGATCTGCACTGTCTCTTTCATTAACCCCCCCTCCCACCCCCCACCCCCCAAAAAAACACTAATAGCAATAATGTTTGATTTGATTTGTATCTCCCAAAAAAATACAGGAAAAAAAAAAAAAAAAAAAAGTAGTAAAAAAAAAAATACAAAAAGAGAAAAAGGATAACATGTAATAAAAGTGTATAATTGTAATAAAAGTGTATAATAATAATGATAATAATACATAAAAGTATTCAGATTACGCTTTGAACCCCCTCCTCCCCTCCAAAAAACAAATAAAAAACAAGAAAACAGCAACAACAACAAAGAAAGCATTTCATGGTTCCATTTAGGAATGTACTGCTACGAGTGACTATTAATTATAGCTATTTGTATTATTGTTTTGCTAAGAAGAACAATAATACAAGTATTTGATCACCTCTCTCTCATTCCTCCTTGCTGGCTCTTCCTGTAAGACCTCGTTGCTTCCTCCGGATTATCCTGCTGGTTTTGTGTTCTGGATTCTTGTTTTTGTTTGCCTCTGGCTCCTTGTGTTCGCTGTAATTTTGTAAGTTTTCAGTTTTATTGATAGACAACATTCAGTACAATCCGTGCGCCCAGTTCCTGTCTGCATTTTGGGCCCACAAACAAACAAACAAACAAAACAAACAACAAACAAACAAACAAACAAACAAACAAACAAACAAACAAACAAACAAACAAACAAACACATCGTGATAAATAAAACGCCCCATGAAATTATCTAAACTAGAAGAAATGAAATCTTCATAATTGTTTTAATTTATGACTTAGAAATATTTCTAAACAAAAAAAAAACAAACAAAAAAAACAACAAAGAACAAAAACAAAGTAAGAATCTTTTATTTTTCTTGACAATCGCTTGAAAAAGTCATAATCGGTAAAAACCGCGGATTTTAACAAAATGCCTCCGTCTAACTGACCTTTCCTCAGACATGTTTTATCTGCCAAAATCCGAGATGACCTATATAGTGTCTACCAAACAGAAGAGCAGCAGCAGGAGGAGGAGCAGGTTTGAGCTCAGACATGATGAAGTCAATAAATAAGGACCGCAGAGGCGAGTCGAGAAGAGGATGCTCCCTCCGCCTGTCACCTGTGAGCGTCCCGGACATGTCGGTGCGTGTTTTGCAGCGCGGGTCCTGTAGAGAGCAGTAGATAGTTTGAATAAGTGCGGCTCCTCTTACTGTAAGGCACACAGTGCAGCGGAGGGAGGAGCGACAGCGTGCTGTTTCTTTTTTGGTTCTTTCCACTCCACACGAACACACACGCGCACGGTCGTTGCCGTTCATCCAAACGTAACTGTAGGACAACAAAACAGGAATCAAACTAGGAAGCGTCGTTGGAAAGCGGACAGGAGAGTCTGTTTTTCAAACGGTACGAGGCTCAGCAGTAGTGGCCAGGCGGAGGACTGGCGCTCCGGAGAGCGGAGGTGTGTGTGTGTGGGGGAAGAGCCATCCAGCCCTGCCGCTACACACTTTCTACAGCAACCAGGAGGAACCCGGCTGACTTTTTCTCCCGCTTCGTTTCCGCCTCATGACCCAATTCCCAGGACAGCGTGGGGTCCACGGCGCGCGGGGAAACTGTGGGACGGTAAGTGTTGTTTTCAGGGGGTGGGGAGGGGTTCGAAGCCTCCGGAGCAGCGTGGTCTGCAGGCACTTCGGCGGCGGTAGCTTGTGTAGCCCGGGCTGGTTGTGACAGATCAGACCTACGGCCGACAGACGCACACCCACTCGTACGCGCACACGCATACTGCCTCGCGCATTCACACGGCTTACTACCAGCGGTAGGTTCGTGAGCGGATTGAGTGCTCCTGTTATCACTTCGCCGCTCGTGGATCGCCAGTTGGAGCCCTGCTCTGGTTGGTGTTTTGACGCCGGGATCGGGTGCTGCACTCTGGGCCCAGACTCGGACTGAACTGCCTGCTCTACTCCGGGACTCGCACGCTCCACTCACGCATGCACACGCGCACACACTTGAAGGCAGATGGACCCACTCACCAAATGTTGATGACCACTGTCAGTCAGGCTGCTCAGTTTTCTAATATTGAATAAAAGTTTCCCTCCCTCAGAAGTAGTAGAAACACTTTTATGAGCGTCTGAAAAAATGCTTTAGTTGTAAGGTTTGTGTCCAGTTCTTTAACAATGTTTTATATTAATGCAAACTAACTTAAAGGTAATTTGCATTTAGTCACAAAGTTCTCTAAAAGGTTATGTGCTGCATGTTGCATAATGAGTCATATAATGCTCACAGTCTGCCCGTTTTATTGAATGCCTTGTTCCTGTAAAAGCATTTGAGTTCGCTGACATTTTCAAGTTACAACTCCAGACTTTAAACTTGTTTCTATAGGGTTATGTGTTATAAACTAACACAATACATAATTGCGAAGTAAAATGAATAACATGGAGTTTAAAATTGTTTGAAAATGGAATCCGAGAAGTTTGGCGTGCAGTTGTATTCATTCCCAGACTTTGACTGGGTCAGTCTCATATCAACTTGCTTTGATTTAAACCTTTCTGTAGTAGCCGTGGTTGTGTGCTTAGGACTGTTGTCCTGCTGACAGACGAATCAGTCTTTTGCAGCCTTAAGCATGTTTTCTTCCAGGATTGCCCTCTGTTGCTGCCCTGCATCCCTGTCCATTCTGAACAAACTTTGCCTTGTGTTTAGTTGATGCTGTCATCACCATACATAATAGTTTTCTTTCAGTAATATGTGCTCCATTGCACGATTGCATAAAGTCAAGGTTTGCGGAATACGTGACTAACAGTTTTCCCGCCAACTGGTTCTCTCAGCTGTGGTTTTCTGTAAATTACACACAAATACATGCTTTTCCATTTAAGAGACTTCTGAAGACACTTGCTTTGATTGGACTTTCTTTAGGCATATCAGAGTAAAAGGGGGTGAATTATGCAAGTCAAACTTTTCTAATTTGTATTTTTCAAAACGTATTAAACCATGTGTTTTCCTTCTACTTTCTAATTACGCATCATATGTCACATACAGTTTTAATATAATGCATTAAGGTTTGTAATTGTAATGTCACAACATGTGAAATTTATTATGAATACTTTTGCAAAGCATTAAGCTTATTGAATAACAGAGAGACACCACCTTCTTGCAAGTTTTTCTCACCATGAATTCAGAGAACATTTTAATGTTGCCAAGGGAAAATTTAGTCACACTCTCTGCTTTCCCTTCCGTCCCCATCTCCTTAACCCAGACCAGAGGAGAATCCTCGAACAAATCAATCGCAACATAAATGCAGATCAGAAATATATTGGCCATCATTTGCCTCACACATTTGCAACCGTTTCCCCTTTAAAAGTCCTTGTCCCTGCACCACAGGCTGTGTAATAATTAAATCGCTCAGTGTTAGCACTCAATTCAAACTCGTGAAAGGGTGTGAGCTCTCTGAGCGCTGCTGCTTTAATTTCATTTTGGAGTGTGCAGAGAGATGGTGACAATCTAAGGGCTGCGTGCTGCTACTGCGGCCGAATTCAGGACGCAACAGATGCACCTTAGCAGAGTGCCGTTAACTCTGCAAGGTGAAAACAGTAGGAAATAAATGGCAGGATGAGCATTAAAACCAAATAGATTCAGTCTATATGGCTTAAATTAAGTAACTTTTATGTCCTGCCCCTCTTCATTAATCATTAACCATCAGTATAAATCCAGCCTTTCTATTTCTGGGTTGATGATTAGCCCTGTCTAGGTCTGTCATTCACATATTGCTCTCTGATGGAATAATCCATTGACTATTTTCTAGCAAGTCTTTTAGAGCTAATCTTTGATATTCTGTAATTCAAAATTTAATATGTAGGTCTTGTTCTTTGTTTGGTGCAGAAATATTTCGATACTTCCCGGAAAAACACTTGGAAAATGCTCGCTTGGTTTCTGACGTAGTGATGTAACAGGGTAGCGTGAGGAAAAAACGAGGATGGATGGAGCCCCATGTGACCTGGCCTCGTCTCCTCCTCTTTTCCTCAAGGCCATGACTCCTTGTCGGAGATGAGGGTGACCTTATTCGGTCCCTCCTAGAATGCCGCTCTCCAGAAGGGCCTCTCTCTCCGTGACCTTTTCTGTGTGTCTTATTTCCTCCTCTTCTCCTTTCTAAATCACCTACTGCTCTGCGGTAGGGCGTGAGCGATCAACGCTTAGATCTGTAGCGCATCCTCTTATGTAACTCTGTGCTCTGCTCTGTTTCTGATGTTCAGTGATGTCAGAGCTTGGAGAGGCAGACGGGATGCTGGAAAATCCAATGTGTCAGGACATGTCCATGCGCGAAAGGCTTAATTTCACATCTGTTTCCAGGGCTGGCTTTAAAAGTAAAGCACTGGATAATGAACATAGTTTGATTGGCTCTTTATTGTAGTATCTTGGTATGAAAAATGCCACTGACATGACACCAGCATTATGTTTGGAAATGCCTCAGTTGTTGTTTCAGTTGTGGGTAAGAGGTTGGCAGGCAGAGATTTCACTCAGGGATGGGTGCTGGAAAAAGGTTGCTGTTAATATAAAGATAGGTAATGGACAGTTGAGTGGAAGAAAGAAAGATAATGTAAAAAGCAACAATAACTGCCTCCTGCATGAGTATCAAACTGTACTGACACAGTCAGTGTCCAACTCAACTGAATCAAGTGGCTGAATCCGCAGGTACCACATTCTATGAAGCTCAGCTAAAAAAATCATTTCTTTTGCAGTGTTTAGGGACTAACGCCCCAAAAAGTTGCAGGTCACTGACCCTTGTTGCCACTGTTTTTTTTCTTTTCTTTTTTCCTCTTTAATCTTTTTAGTTTTATGTATTTATTTTGTCCTGTAAACTTGGGTGCGCTGGACTCCAGAGATGATAAATCATCGTTGGAATTTCACGTCCCATATTTTCCGTGAAATGCAAACACTGCTTGTTAGTGTTTTCCGACCCTGGTTCTCACGGCCTGCCGCATAATTAATCCATATATTTGGAAAAAAACAAAACAAAAACAAATTCTCTTCATCTTAAAATACACATTGAAGTTTAAAGTTATTAGGATGTAATCAGATAAACATAATTTCATATTGAAAATGTGATAGAGGAACTTTTCACATTTGCTGGAAATATTTAAAAACTGTGTAAAATTGATCACCAATTGCATGGTGGCTGATTTGTAAAAGTGTGGAAGAAGAAAGTGCACAAGCATCAAGTACTTTAAAGAAATACTTCTTGTTACTGTAATGAAAAAAATTCTAAATGGTTTTCCCTTGAAAAAAGTAGATAAAAAAATACTTCTGCTATGAACTCATAAAAATAGGAAAGTTTTATCAAACTTTTACTTTTTTATTTCACTAAATTGCCCTCAATAATATGGATGTTTGTTTTAATTTATTACATAAAACAAACAAAAAAAAAAGAACATATGGTTGTTGCCAAAGATTCTTGCACTTGTAAGTGACGGATTTCAGCAAATCAGTGAAAAGTTGAGTGAAAGGAAAACATGTGACGGAATAAGGTGCACGAGGAACTACGGCATCTGTAGTTTTGAGAAGATTGTGAAGCAAAAAAGATGTAAGTCGCATGGTATAGACTGTACTTGTGTTTTGATAAAACTTTAGCACAAAATGTGTAAAATACAAAAAATCTTTTAAATCTGATGTAAACATCGATGCAAAAGACGAGACAAAAACAAGATAACCATATCTGCTATATTTTTAAGTGGAAGAATTCAATATAAGATTATTTTGTAAGTAGAATATTCAGCTGATTGAGTGAAAATAAAATATTCTGTATGCTCTGTAGCCTTTCTGTCATGAAGGAAATTACAAGTGGTTTCCTGCTGTAATATTTGGCACCAAGGATAAAGTCATTTGGCAAGTCAAACTACAGTAAGAGAAAGGAATGCGGCAAATCTTCCTGTATGTTGTTGTTGCTGGGATTTTTCTTCCGCACGAAAGCGTCACTGCTGATAAGCACGCCATCATGGCGAACGCAAGAGATTATCAGCAGGCTTCGCACAGACCTTCTCACAGACCAACCGAGGGTCCCACTGTCACTGAATTAATGAAACATCAGCCCTCTGGCACACAAACACACTTTGAGAGGCATTACATCAGATCTCAGGCAGGCAGCAAGCTCTAGGTTTGTGGTTTGTTTGTTTTCAATTTGGCTCCTCCCTATTCTTTTTTCCTCGTAGTAAGTTGAGTTTCATTTTATTCTGTTAGAAGGGTTTCAGTTGTGTCTGTTGAGCAGCGGTTTCAACGCAGATGGTTACCACAACCCTCCCACCCCCCGGCTTATCTGTCGCTACGTCTTCGTGCCATCAAACAACTCCTTTGAGGCAGCAGGGATAATAAACTGGCAAAACTGACATTATTGGCCAAAATGGGTAAGAAAGAGGGATTATTACGCTGCCACCTTTTGCTCTTATTAGCACGAGTCAACTTGGCTCTGCTGAAACACCACTGGGGCCGCTCAGAAACTGGCTTTTCATCAATGGGAATGCTTGGCACCGGGAGCCAGGAGGTTTCCCTTTGCCAGGATGACATTTGTTGGAGCAGCACTGCCTTCGCTCTGTGCCTGCTAGGGCCATTTTGGTTAATGAAAGTGGCGGAGGAGTGAA